CTTCTTCAGCAGGGCGCCTGTGCCCAGGATGTCCTCCCATTCTCCGTCATCGCCGCCACTACCATCGCCCACCTCAGCCACATCAACCACCTTGTCTTGATCGCTCGTCATCTTTGTTGCTTCCTTGCCGAAAGTTGTTGGAAATGCCAGCGCAATTTCTACAATCGAGGTGAAACAACAACAGCCACAACAACGGGCAATGGCTGGCAAGTGGACCAAGCTTCGGCTGGCTGCTGCGACAAGCAGCGTCTTCAACGACGTTGCTGAGATGCGTAAGCAAACGCTGAAGGAGGTAGGGGCTGCTTGCCTTGCCGTGCTTGCGCGCTGGCCTCAACCGCTGCCTGCAAATGCTCACATGCTGGTACACGCCCAACACATGTGCCACGGCTCACTGCACAACCTCACATCACCATGCATACCCGCGCATTCATTGTTTGTTCAGTGGGAGGAGATTCAGCAACAGGCAACGGCACGGAGACAGGCCATTGAAAGCGCAAAGCTCTTCAAAAGGTGTGTGTGTGTGTTGGGGGTGTGTGTATGCGTGAATGGTGCTCCGCCAACGTGCACTGACTTCACCACATGCACACACAACGCGCGTCCTGAAAGAAATGCGCGCCAAACCATTCATCCCGTGCAGAACTCTTCACCCGCAATGCGCCAAGACATGCAACCACCTACCTACCTTCACTCACATTTGCACACTCGCCCACACACACCGCAACCGTGACTCAGGTATCGGGACGAGGCCAACGATGCCCAGACCTGGATGGCGTCCCACCAAGAAGTTGCACAGGAAGACAACTACTCCGACCACAAAGACATTCAAGCCAAGATTCGGCTCCACGAGGTCTGCTCGCGAGCTATGCTTGTGGCTTCCAGTCGATGCCTCCTCACCCTTGCAGCTTTCATCACAGTTGTGGGAACAAGCACACATGCGATCACTCACACACACACACATACACACGACATCTACACGCACAATTACATGCGCACTCACATGCAAACACACACACAGGCGTTTGAGGCGGAGGTGAATGGGTTCCAGCAGACGATTAATGACCTGGCCAGCAACGCTAAGCACCTTGTTGAGGAAGGACACAGACCCGAGGACAAAGTCAAGCCCATCCAGGGTGAGAACAGCGACCACAGCCACTTCTTCCAGCAATCACATGCTTTCCTTGTCCTGACTGTGCTTCCTGCTGTGTGTGTGTGTGTGTGTGTGTGTGTGTGTGTGTGTGTTTGTGTGCAGGATGGGGATACACTTATGCTCACATTGCCACGATTGCATTCGTCACCCCGTCCAGACGCACTGGAACAGCAATTTGAGCACCTCGTTGCATTGACACAACAGAAGAAGTGGGTGAATTGTTTGCCTCTTGCAGCTGCTTTGAGGCTGCTGCTCGCCTGCATTCGCGTCCAATCGCCATGGGGACCTGCCATCCACTCCAATCACCGCACACATCCGCCACCCTACTCTCACGCGAGACAACACACGACCGTTACATGCCATGCCCGCACCACAGAGCGGCGCTGCTTGCGGCGCGAGACAGCACACAGGGCCTCTCTGCCTTCAACAGCCAGCACGGCGGCATCCTTGCCTGGTGCACAGAGACGACCGCCAGCCTCACGGCCGAGACGCAGCCAACGGATATTGCCAGTGCAGATGCGCTTCTCTCGCAGCACCAGCAGACCTGCGCCGAGGTCGAGGCACACCGTGCAAGGTACTGCCTACCTGTCTGTGTGGTGTGTGTGTGTGTGTGTCTGTGTGTGCGTGTGAAGAGAGTATGAATGTGTGTGTGTGCGTGTGAAGAGAGTATGAATGTGTGTGTGTGTGTGCGTGTGTGTGCGTGTGCGTGTTGGGGCTGGCATTCGTGTGCCGCATGCCATATCCTCACCCCCGCTGACGCTTTCTTCCTTCCTGCAGTGTGGACGCGGTGCTGTCGCTTGGGCAGCAGCTGATTGACGCCAACCATTACGCAAAGAGCGATGTTCAGCACGCCTGCGCGCACCTGCGCGAGGTACGTGCTGTCGTGTGGCAATGACTGTGCCTTTGCGTGGTGTTGATTGAAGCTGCACGTGCAACGCACACAGCTTACAGAACACACACGTACATGCACCTACCACACAACACAACACACGTGTGCGCGCGCACTTTTGTGCTGATGACGGGCATGTGCCACTCGTTCTGCTGCATGACTGCCCTCTTGTATGCGGCGTGTTTGAGCGTGGTAACACGGCGTCCAAGAGACCATCTTCTGCTGATTGCGAGTGCAAGCATCGTCTTCCCATGCACTGATTGTCCCGCAACTGCAGGTGTTCGAGGAAGTGTGTGCTCTTGCTGAGAAGAAACGTGTGTTCTTGCAGCAAGCACGCGCGTTCCACATCTTCCAGCAGCAAGCAGACGAGGTCTGTACGTGTGTGTGTGTGTGTGTGTGTGTGTGTGCGTGTGTGCGCGTGTGTATGTTTTTGAGCGTGCACACGCTTGGGTATCACAAGCAGCAGAGTACCCAGTCCCTCCTTCACAGAACAACGTGCCCCTGCTCCTGTGTGTGTGTGTGTGTGTGTGTGTGTGTGTGTGTGTGTGTGTGTGCGTGCGTGTGCGTGTGCGTGTGCGTGTGTGTGTGTGTGTGTGTGTGTGTGTGTGTGTGTGTGTGTGTGTGTTTTCAGATTGAAGACTGGTTGGACGCGCAAGAAACAGCGGTGGCTGCGCTCGGGCTTGGGGCGACGATTGCAGAAGTGCTCTCCCTGCAGAAGAAGCACGGTCAGTCCACCGATTCCATGATGATGATGGCCACATTAGCTGCGTTGTTATCTTGCCCTTGTCTCCTACTCCTTCCAACACATCCCATGATCCCATGCACAAGTCCGCGTGCCACCACTATGTGTATCTGACCACCTCGATCGGATCATCTCACGACAACATCACATCATGTATGCGGCGATTCACAGCGTCGCTGCTCAAACAGATTGCTGCGCAGCGCGAGAAAATGAAAACACTCGCAGCGCAGGTGTGTGTTGTATGTAGGTGGGTGACTGGGTGCATATGACTGTGAGTGTGTGTATGTGTGTGAGACTGAGTCTGCATGTGTGTGCATGCAGGCGCTCGTGACGTACAGGAGAGAGGCAGGTTGACATGTTGGCTTGAGTGATCATGTGCGGACTTGAATGTTCATAGGCACACGCTGATTTCAGGTTGAGCAAGCACGAGCAGACGAGCACTACAACTTGGATGCGTTCACCACGCGCCAGTGAGTTGAAGCACACCTCTGCCTTTACGCACAGCTGTGACGGTGGCGTGTGCCGCTGCGTCGCGTGCAATCTCCTGACAAACCCCATACCACCACACTCGCTACTTGTCGACTATTACCTTCACAATCACACAATCACACAAACACAAACATGAACAACCCCCAACCTGTACGCACCCCAACCACAACTGTCCACATGATGACGTCACATCAACGCACAACTGCAACCCCCCCCCCCCCAATTCACATGACACCGACACATATTTCACACCGCCACGTCACCCCCCCCCCCCCAATCACGCCACCATGCCGCCCTCAGTGCCGAGCTGGAGGAGCGCCGGAGTGCATTTGTTGCCATTGCCGACACGCGCACGCAGCGGCTGGCGTCGTCGTTGGATGGGCTGCAGCTTGAGCGGGACATGCAGGAGGCGCTCGAGTACATGGCGGGCAAGTGGCGGTTTGCAGACGACGAGGCATACGCAGAGCCAGCCAACCTCTCCGGGAAACTCAAAAAGTTTGAGGTGCAAAAAGAACAACAAGCGGTGGAACTATGCATACATGTGTGCGATTTGTTCCTCTGTGTGTATATCTGTGCGTTGGTGCACAAGGACATTTGTGGCAAGCAACCTGCCGTTGTGCATTCGTGTAACCACCACCACCACCACCACCACCACCACGACTCGTCGCATCGGTGGCCGTGCATACAGGCTGTTGAGACGGAGCTGTCCGCGTACGAATCGCACGTGGATGCCCTCGTGTCCCGCGCCGAGGTGCCCACTATCACAACACCCACAACCAACGCATGCGCTGCTGCAATTCGTCTGTGCCTCTGTGCCTCTGTGCGTGTGTGTGTGTGTGTGTGTGCGTGTGCGTGTGTGTGCGTGTGTGTGCTTGTGCTTGCACCCTGCTGACATTCCTGCTCTCACAGCAGCAAGCTGTGTGTGATACGTTCTTCACCTCACACAATGAATCATCACCTCCATTTCCCAATCCTATCAGGGCATCATTAGCGAGAGCGAGGAAGAGGCGCACACGTCGCGAATCGAAGCGCTCCTATCACAGATGCAGGACCGCTGGTCACGCCTCCTCCAGCAGATGCACACAAAGGGTACGTGGTCGTTTGGATGTGTGCGTGTGTGTGCGTGTCTGTCTGTCTGCCTGCCTGTCTGTCTGCCTGTCTGTCTATTTGTTTGTTTGTTTGTGGCTATGTGCGATCATGCTCCCCGCGTTGTGATGACATGAGCTGCACCACCGCCGCGTTTGTGCTCACACTCACACTCACACACACACTCACACTCACACTCACACTCACACTCACACTCACACTCACACTCACACTCACACGCGCATCAGGGCTGCGATTGCGTCAGGCGCAGGAGATGTACGCGTTTACGCGCAGCGCCGCCGATCTGGAGGCGTGGCTGCGGGACATCGAGGCATTCGTTGCACAGCCAGACCTGGGCAAGGTGTGTGCCTGCAGGCATGACGCTGCTTGACTGGCTTGGTGCACTGAACACGGGAGCGGAGCATGCAAAGCATCACATCTCTGACATGGGCTGTTGGTTTGTTCCGCATGCAGGATGTGAAAGCTGTTGAATCACTGCTACAGCGCCAGCAGCTGTGTGAGACCGATGTCGAGGGCAAACGAACACAGATTGAGCACCTCGTGCAGCAGGTGCGCTTGCGTGTTTGCGTGTGTGAGACTGTGCGTGTGTGTGTGTGTGAATGTGTGCGTGTGTGTGAAAGTGTGTGTGTGTGCTTGTGTGTGTGAATGTGTGTGTGTGTGTTTGCGAGTGTGACTGTGGTATTGTGTGTGTATGAGACTGTGTGTGTGCGTAAACGCGGGATTGTCGTGTGTGCATGTATCCCTGCAGATGCGTGTGTCACCTCTGATATTCTGAGTGGCACGGTACCAATTGCTGCTTGCATGTGTGCATGTGCATGTGCCCTTGCTACTAGGGTGATCGCTTTGTTGCAGAGGACTTCTTGGAGGCGAAAGAAGCGCAAGTCAAGTGCGTGCAACTGCCAACCTGCTGTCTCAGCACACACTTGCAGTCACTCACGCCGACATCCACGCAGCCGCTCACCCATCCACCCATCCACCCACTCGCTCCTTGTCCATCTCCACCGCCTCCAGAGCGCTGGCGCTGTCGGATCGCTATCATGACATTCACGTGCCGCTTGCCAGCCGCCGTGCAAATCTTGAGGCGTCCCTCGAACTCCACCACTTCCTCGCAGATGCACAAGATGAAGGTGCAATGTGGCGCCTTACTTAAAGCCGCCCCCCCCGCGCGTTTCTTGTCACGGGCACATGTGTGTGCGGAGAGCAGGTTCCATGGTGTCACTTGCATGTTGTTGTCAAACATACATGGAAGTGTACAGCTCAACCACTCATGCACGCACGCACACACACACGCACACGCCTCTCTCGACCCCATGTTCGCTGCGTGTGGTTCACCAGAGGCGTGGATTCAGCTTAAGCTTCCGATTGTGCAGAGCAGTGACTACGGCGACTCCATCTCGGCCGCCCGCATCCTCGACGTCAGGCTCAAGGTACTTCCGTATGCAAGGAGTGTGTGTGTGTCTGTCTGTCTGTCTGTGCTTGTGTGTGTGTGTGTGTGTCTGTCTGTCTGTCCGTCCGTCCGTCCATGTGTCCATCTGTGTATGTGTGTGTACCTGTGTCTGTGCATCGAGGGTTTGCTTTGGATGTTGACTGACTATTCGTTTGTGACGTTGTGTTGAACCACATTCAATCCCAGTCCACTTGCCCTTCATCCATCACATGCCGCCCCCCCCCTCTTCCCCACCCAACACCGTTCCGGCAATGCAGAGCTTTGAGGCGGAGGTGCAAGCGCGTGAGGAATCCATTAGCAAGTTGACAGAGTGGGCCGAGCGCCTGCTGTCTGATTCGCACTACGCCGCAACCGTCATTCAGGTGCGTTGTCGCAGCGTCGTGCGCGTCCAATGTTCCATGTGCGCGCTATCCAAACGCGTGTGATTGACCCTGGTCGTCGCGCACGTGCCAGCAACGCGACACCCTGACTCTTCTCATTCCGTTTTCTACATGTTCACCAACAACACCTCTACTTTCTCTTCTCCTCCCACATTGATGTCCACCACTCTCATAGGAGAAGCGCAATCATCTCAGCGACCTGTGGCTGTCCTTCAAGCAGGACCTCAGCCTCCGAAAACAGGTTTGTTATGTTTGTTATGTTTGGTGTCGCTTTATGTTGCAATGGGTGGTGTTCGCCGCTTGCCTGAGATACTTTGAACCACATCGTTCTGTGTCAACTCAAATTCCGCGGGCATGCGAGTGTGTATGGCTGTGTGTGTGTGTGTGTGTGTGTGTGTGTGTGATGACTGTGATTGGAGATAGTCTCAAGTGCATGCTGTTGACGACGTGCGTTGCGTGGTGCGTGTGTGCGAACATTGCAGCGCCTTTCGGAAAGCATGAAACTGCAAACGTTCCTGGCAGACGTGCGCGAGGTAACGTAAAACGCAAACTTTTTCGCGATTTCTGCTGACCCGCACACAGTGTCAATTCTCATCCATATATGTGTGTGTGTGTCCACTGCAGGCGCAAGCTTTCATTGAGGAAGTGCGGCCAGTTGTGATGGACACATCCACAGGCGATGACGAGGACGCCGTTCAGGTGTGCAATTTAAAAGATACCAACAACAACAACAACAACAACCAAGAACAACGACAACAACAACAACAACAACCACCAAGAACAACGACAACAACAACAACAACAACAACCAAGAACAACAACAACAACAACAACAACAACAACAACAACAACAACAGCAACAACAGCAACAACAACAACATGACCGTGTTGCGAGGATACCATGTGTTTTCTCACCTGGGTGTCGCGTGTGATTGCAGGATTTGCTCACCCGGCACACTCTGATACTGGATCGGCTGCAAACGTTCCAGCTCACCCTTGACAAGCTCAAGAGGGCAAGGTACACATGAACGTGCAACACTTTCCCCCACTGTGTGTGGCTGGCACTCCGTCCCTGTTTTATCTGGCTCCAACAATGAAAAGTTTCAATCACAAGTTACACCACCGCAAGGCCCTTCTCTGTCGCGTTTCACTCTCTCACACCCGTATTCGCACGTACACACGCACACACGCACACGCACACGCGCGCATGTTTTCCCGTGCCCGCAGAGGCGAGCTTGCACACAACACGAGTGGAAACAAGAGCAACAGCGGCGGCGTGGACAGCGAAGCAGTTGAGCGCGAGCACACGGCCGTTCGCACGCAGTTTGAAGAGCTGCGACGACGCGCGGATGAACGCCAGCAGCGGCTGCATGACCAACAGCAGTGGTTTGCATTCAAGGCACAGGTCAGCATGTCCACTCATCTGTGCGTGTGAGAGTAGGAGGGTGTGGAGATCTGTATCTCTGTGGGCATGTGTTGCATCATCGTGCTGGCTCACATTCGTTCCCGCCCCCGGCACACACACACACACACACAACCACACACACACACACACACACACACACACACACACACACAACACACACACACACACACACACACACACACACACACACACACACACACACACACACACACACACACACACACGTGCACCTGGCGTGCGTGGTGCCAGTGTGACGACATGCTCGACTGGGTGGAGGCGAGTCTTGTGACAGCCACCTCCACAGACGTGGGCCAGTCGAAGGAGGACTGCAAGCTCTTGCAGAAGCAGTTTGACGATTTCGTCGTGGATGTGAGTGCGCAATACCAACACGGCGACTGTTGCACATGCATGCTCGATTCGGATGTCAGGGAATGGACGCAAGAGCACATGTCATGGGGTACATGTGTATGGCGTGTATGCACTTCCTTGGACGATACTCTTCAGGTGTACTCACCAACGCGATTCTTGCCGTTTCCCACGATGTTGCTGACAACAGGTCAACAAGAGGCAGTCGCTCATGAAAGACTTGCAGAAACAGGTGTGTGTGTGCGTGTGTGTGGTGTGTGTGTGTGTGGTGTGTGTGGCTATACAGACGCGTGCAAGCGAGAATGAGAAGCGGGCAAAGGGAATTGGCACATGACCAAGAGCTTCCCTTGCTTCCCCATCCATATACATGTACATTTGCTCATGTCTGAGAGTGTCACCTCATGCTACCATACTGCAACCGTTCGCAATGCAGGGCGCAACGCTCTCAAACAAGACGTCCCCAAACATCAAATCTGTCAAGGACATGTTGCTCAAGCTGGAAACAAGGTCGGCGCTTGTGCTGTGCTGTGTCTGTGTCTGCGTCTGTGGGCGTGCATGGGTGTCTGTCTGTCTGTTAGGATGCGAGGACGAGGTGTTGCGGGACGTACCATGCTTGTCTGCAGCTTTTGCGACTGCTTGGACCCCTCGCGTCCTCACCAGGCAATTTGCTGTCACCTGCAGGTGGGAACAGCTCCAAGAGGAGATTAAGAACCGCACGCGCGCACTCGCCAACGCCACGGAGATTCTTGCGGTGAGTTTCATCTTCGTAAAACACCCCTGGCGTGTCACCACCGTTTGTCTTGCAAGTGTCGATTGCCACTGTTGTGCAGTCATGTAATGCACGCGTGAAGATGTTCACTGACGGGTTTGTCACTTGCCCCTGTCGCAGTTCCACCAAGAAGCGGCCGAGACTATGGACTGGATCAAGGAGAAGGACGAGGAGCTTTGCACAGGTGTGTGTGTGTGTGTGCGTATGTTTGTATGTATGTATGTATGCATGTATGTATGTATGTAAGTGTGTGTGTATGGATGTATGGATGCATGTATGTTTATGTGTGTGTCCAAGCAGTGAAGGCGTTGTGCTCTGCTGCGTGGGAAACACATGCTCCAGGCCACAAGCATGCACGCGCACAAATTCCTCCACTCATTTCCCTTCCCCTAACACACACACACACACGAGACTCTGCAGACGAGTGCGGGCAGGACATTGCTGGTGTGGAGGCGCTGCAGCGGCGGCACGCGGCGCTCGAGCGCGACCTTGCTGCTCTCGGCCACAAGCTCGAGCGTGTGTTTGGAGAGGCTGGCCGTCTCGTCGCCCTACACCCAAGTTTCTCGCAGCCGATTACCGCCAAGCAGGCGGAGATGGCCCAGCGATGGGAGAGCATGCAGGTGCGTATTGGGGGGGGGCGAGATGTGGATGCAATTTCCCATGCGATTTGATGTGATTCAAGTCTGTTTGCCACAGGAACGCAGCCTTCATAATCTTGGGAGAAAGATGTGCTTGTTTTGAAAGACTTGGTTTTGGTTTCGTTGATGGTTCCGGACTGGAACGAGCATGTGGTGCACACTGCTCACACACTCACACACTTTCACACTCACACACTCACACTCACACTCACACACACTGCTCGCACACTCACACACATGCGGGCTGCCTGCTTGTGTTGCGTTCTTCGTACTACTATTGATGTGGGCTTTCTTGACGATGGTATCTGGCTCTTATCTGTATGAAGGAAACCGCCAAGCAAAGAAAGCAACAGCTGGCAGATGCACACGTGTACGCCAAGTTTGTGGCAGATTCCAAGTCAGTTTGTGCCGGCAACTGCTCACGCGTGTGTGTCTGTGCGTCTGCGTGTATGTCGCTGCGTGTATGTGCGTATGTTCATCTGTGTGTATGTTCATCTGTGTGTTTGTGTCTGTCTATGTGTTTGCTTTCGACGTTCCATTCCATACACTCACTGTACTCCTGCATTTTGTAGAGAGTTGTTGGGCTGGATTGTTTCGACATGCAACGAGATTACCAACATTAAGCCCGCAACAGACGTCACGGGTGCGTGTGAACATGTCATCCCTAGGGTTGTTTGGCTTGCTTGCTTTGCTTGCTTGGCTGTGTTGCTGCTGTTGTACATCACTGTAGGTGCGAATGAGTGAACTCACACATGTGCCGCATGTGGTTTCGTTTCTGCAGATGCGGAGAGGCGGCTGCACCAGCACATTGAACTTCGGTGAGTATTTGGGTCCCATTGTCTTTGTGTTTGTGTTTGGAGTGATGCTCTGGTCGCAGCTTCTTCATCCCATGACTGCCGCTAACAGAACTGGCTTGGCCTGTTGCCGTTATTTCACCACCATCGCCATACACCACCACCAACAACCACAACAACAACAACAACAACAACAACAACAACAACAACAACAACAACAACAACAACAACAACAACAACAACAACGACGACGACGACGACGACGACGACGACACCTGTCTCTCGTGTCGTGCCTGTGTGTCCTCTCTGCAGCATGCGAATTGAGGCACACCAGAGCGCGGTTGATTCTGTTGTTGAGACAGCTGAGCAGCTCCTTGAATCAGACAACGTCATGCGTCCACAGATTGAGGATATGGTCATGGAAGTCACAAACGCGCAGGTGCGACCAAGTTCACTGTTGGTCGTGGATGGTAACTGCGTTAACTGTATGCGTCTGTCTGTCTGTGTGCGTGTGTATGCGACTGTGTGTGTGTGCGTGTGACATTTGTGTGTTTTCGGTGGCGCACCTTGTTGTTGCTGTTCATTTCATCTGCTGTATGTAGTAGTGTTGCTGTCCCGTTTGCTGGAAGGCTCATTATTTGACCTGGTTGTTTTGGTTTGATATCCCAGGAAACGCTGACGGCGCTCTGGGATGACTTTCATGATTTGCACCAAGAGTCTGTCTTTGTACAGGAGTTTCATCGCGACGTTGCCGAAGTGCGTGGTGCTACCCTGTTCGCAATGCAATGGCTGTATCCATTTTCTTTATTTCATGACATCTATGTGCCGTTGGCTCACATCCGAACACTCGCTGACGTTGTGTACGTGTGAATGCGAACGCTTGTGCGTGTGCGTATGAATATGTGTGTCTGTTTGTACTTGCGGCGTTTACTGTTGTTGCAGTGCGAGGCGTGGTTCTCCTCGCACGAAAATTTCCTGCAGGTAGCACTGCCCACCAGCGCAGAGGCGCTTTCCAACGTCGATTTGATGATTGACAAGCTTGATCAATTTGAAAAGTCGATGGGCTCACAAAGCACCAAGGTAGGGGGACTTTCATGTGCGTGCGTTGATGTTGTTGTTGTTGTTGTTGTTGTCGGTTGCTGTTGCTGCTGCTGCTGCTGTTGTTGTTGTTGTTGGTGGTGGTGGTGGTGGTGGTGGTGGTGGTGGTAGTACTAGTACTAGTACTAGTACAAGTAGTAGTAGTAGTATGCGTATGCGTGTGTGTGTGTGTTTGATGGTACCTTCAAGTACATGCACACGCGCGCACACTCACACACACACACACACACTCACGCACATACACACACGCAAATGCTCACTCACTGCAACGCGCATCGTGTCTGTGGTTTCCACACTTGTGTACATTGTCCAGGTGGAGGAGCTCGTGGCCACGGCGGATGACATTATGCAAGAAATGTCCGCTGGGGAGCTGCAGTGCTTGTATCGCAAGAAAGACCGCGGCGTGCACCGCTCCGTGTTCGAGGTGCGTGCGTTCAGCAAACACTCACCAGCTACATGAAGTTGCCCTCCTCCCCCTTTCTCGCGATGGCTGGGGTTTCGTTACACTCGTTGCTTTACATTTCCACCACTTCGCCAAAACACAACCGTCTTTCTGCCACAGTTCCGAGCATTGCACTGACCATGCTTCGTCTCGCTCGCACTGCTCACGCTTCAATGTTGCATCACATGCCGCGCCTGCTGCTCCTCCGCTCTGCTTGGCATTGCCATGTGCTGTTGGCGTGTTTGCCAGGCGTCGAAGCGCCGAAGCACGCTGAGTAACACGACACGGCAGTGGCTGGCGAAGTCTGCGTTGGTGCGGGAGCTTGCACAGTCGATTGGCCCGTCGCGTCGCAGCTCGAGCGTGAGCATCGCCGCAGATGTGGGCAGCGACTCTGATGGCGAGCAGAAGCGAACCGCGCCCTTCTCTCCTCGCCGCTCGTTTGATGCGGCCAGCATGGCGCCCACCGTTGTTGCCTCCACAGCCACAGCTGTGGCCCGACGTTCCTCCGCTTCACCCCGGCGATCACCGCTCAGCCCCCGACGGTCGCTGTCGCAGGGCCGGGATGGCGCAACTGCCGCTGCTGCTGGCAAACCACACCAGCTGTCACTGGCGCAGCACCAGGAGCCGGATAGCCACGACCCAAGCCAGGGACGAGGACCCACAGACAATGGCGACAGCGACGACGACGATGATGACGATGACGATGATGACGACGGCAAGACCAACGGTGCCAGTGACGAGTATGTTGAAGTGGATGGTGCGGATGATGAGGTTGACATGAATGGGAACGATGACGCTCATGGTGGCGATGACTCGGACAGTTTGGACGGAGAGTTGTTGCCTCCAGACGTACCGCCCCCTTTGCTGGACGATGATGGTGCAAGCGACGATGGGTCGGATGACGGGTCAGATGCTGAGCAACTGCACACTCATGGTGATTATGACGATGCACAGCAACTGCACACTCATGATGATGGTGGAGATGCGCAGCACCACCAAACGCAGCTCCCTGCACAGGACCAGACGCGGCTCCAAGCGCGGCAGCAACATCCAAGTCAGCAACAGCAACAGCTGATTGCTGGAGCGATGCAGGGGGACGACAATGGAACCTCGTCTGAGGACGATGCGCTGGCGGAGGTGTGACATGTGAGGCGAGGTGCGGGTTCCGTTCATGTCCGGTTTTGTGTTGAAGATTTCGAAAATGGCGGGGAGAGCGTGCTTGGGCCCGTTGCATATAGCTGGGCTACGTGCTGTGGAACAATCGCAATGTCGCCCATAGCTTTTCGTCGGCCGTTACGGCACCGCCGCCAGTTTTTCAAACAAAAATAAAAAATTTTACTGGCGAAAAACAGACGCCCCAACGCTTGTTTCCGCACACACTTCTCACCTCGCACTGGCAGTTGCGGGGGAAAGGCAGGCACAACGACCAGCACAAGCACAAGACAGCCAGCCAACTCTAGCAGCACCACACACACTCATACACACACACACACACATACACATACACACGCGACTTGCTCTTGCTTCTTCATATCATCTCGAGGAGGGAGCACCAAGGCAAACCACCCAAGCGTGTGTGCGTGCGCGTGTGTGCGGTCGAGCGTCCGACGCCGTGTGCGTGTGAGTGCGAGCTTGTACGTTTTCAGCTAACGGAGGGGAGCAGTCGACTCAAGAAACAAGAGCACAAACGCACAAGCTAGCGCAAGCAAGCAAGCACCGACCGACGACCGAGGCCGACTTTCCATCGCACCAACAAGACTCAACCGCAACGACATCAGGTCTCTCCTTGGCGTGAGGCAACCAAGCTTCAAGAAGAACATCAACCACCTGCTGCTGCAGAAGATCGTCGCTCCCCAGCGTCTCTGGACCAAGCAACTACCATTTGTTGCCGCATCAACTCAAACTCGAGGTATGTGTCGTCCCTATGAACATTTGCGTTTGCCCACCATTTATGAGCACAGGCATCAACCTTTCTGTACACGACGACGACGATGATGATGATGATGATGATGATGGTGATGATGATGATGCCTGCTATTCGTGACCTGCTTCATGCATCCATAGATTGCACCGTGCCCCATCACCGTGTATTGTGACCGTTCATGTCGTGGTGTGGCCTTCTTTTTCTTTTTCCCCCCTTCGACACCGCCGTTCGCCTGCACTGCAACTCCCTCAATCACACACACGAACCCCGCTCACCCGCATGCAGCCATACTCACGCCTTCTCTCCCCCTCTACCCTTCTCCTCTGCTCGTCCGATATGCGATGCAGGTGACTTTGTTGCATTACTACTCCCTGAAGCGCCACACCAACCACAAAGCCAACCATGAACCCACACCAGCCGGCCGACCTGGCAACCTCGGAGCCTGCCCCCACGCGTCAGCCTGGCGGCTCCAAGCGCCTGCACGATGAAAGAGCAGATGGACAAAAACTCAAGCGAAGCGCCTTGCAGGACATGACCAACAGCACCACATCAGGACAGGTGCGGCACTTGACTTGGTCTGCACGTGCATGCGGTATTTTGCTTTCTGGCTATCGTATCTGTTGAACTGTACGCTTCCACTGTGTCGAGAGATCCGTGATCAGGTGTATGCGCGAGCATGCCCCACCATGAGGTCCCTCACCCGTCTTTTTTTTTTTTTTGTTTGTTTGTTTTTGAGTTCACACGCTCCGTACTACTGCCTTTCTTGCCTTTTGCTGTGATGGCTTGCCTCCGCTCAACCTCTTTGCTCACATACACATACACATGCACACACACATACACATACGCGCATGCACATACACATGCGAACCATGATATCCATTGCGTCATTGCAGACGGCATCGCGAATGGCAGGCGCAACCTTCACACGAAGGACCCACATCCAGCCAGACACGACGGGTCTGCCCGAGCTTGCCGCCCGCCGCGAACGGGAGGAGAGGCAACAGTCGCGTCCAGCCACAACTGCGGCCACTGCCATGCCAGACCTGCGCGTGCAGCAAGACGATCAGACCCTGCCGCCTCGCCAGCCCACCCAGCACATGACCAGGCACCCCGTTGCTTTCGCTCGACAGGACGTGCGGCCAACGCCTGCGCTCACCCACTTCCACCCTCCCTCTCAGACGACGACGACAACGACGACAGCACTTCCTGCGGCAACGCGTCTGAGCAGAGGTTCCTCGGCCGCTTTCACTCAAGCACGCCAGCACCAGCAGCAACAGCCTCTTCCACAGGGTCCTGCGTATGATCGAGCTTACTCGCACCCTTCTGTTGCGACCGCGTCCACCTGCGCCCCCGCCACAACAGCTGTGGTCCCTCCAGTCTCGATGCCAGTGCCCGTCTCACGCACAACTTCGTCCTCATCCACTTCTTCCTCTTCCTCGTCGACCACACTTGCTTCCACCTCTGCATCACTTAGTGCTGCCCCCTCCACGACTGCCGTTATGCCCAACCATCAGCACCACACAAGTACAAGCGTTGCTTCGGTCGTGCCACAGCAGCAGGGACTGACTCCACTCCCGGCCCTGCTTGGCAGTGCAGATTTTGTTGACATTGATCGCCCGTACGCGCATGACGAGGGCCGTGTTACCGAATATGTCGAGAAAGTTATGACTTACCTGCGTCATCTGGAGGTGCGTTGTTGGCTGCACATGCACATGTGCCAAAAAAAAAAAACAGGGGGGGGGTTCAGTCTGAAGCGGTTGTGTTGCGTTTCATTGATTTGTTGTTTATCTTCTTAGCTGGTGTTTCATCTTTGCTTGAGCTGTCTTGCGTATGCGCGCTGCGTGTGGGTGCTGTTGTGCTCACTTCGGTGTTTCGTATTTCTGCTGGTGACCTCACTCTGCGTGCTGGCGTCGTGCTAACAATGACTCGTGTTGCTGCAAACCCCATTTTTTCTTCTCATTGTGCGCTTGTGTGCATGTCTGTGTGTGAGCAGAAGAAGTTCCGTCCTCATGCAGGCTACATGGGGCGCCAACGCGACATCAACCACAACATGCGGTCCATCCTGGTTGACTGGCTGGTGGAGGTGACAGAGGAGTACCGCCTGCAGCTGCAGACGCTCTACATTGCCGTTGGCTACATTGATCGCTTCCTCTCGAACATGGCGGTGCAGCGCAGCAAGCTGCAGCTTGTTGGCGTCACGTGCATGCTTCTTGCGGCAAAGTACGAGGAGATTTACCCTCCCAGCGTCAACGAGTTTGTGTACATCACAGACAACACGTACCGTCGGGAGCAGGTGCTGAAGATGGAGCATGTTGTGCTCAAGGTGCTCCGCTTCGACATGGGCGCCTGCACCGCCCTTACGTTTCTTGTGCGCTTCATCCACGCCGCGTCCGCCACCCCTCCCTCCCACTGTCTCGCCCTGGTATGAGATGCACGACCTGCAAAATGCTTGCTGGCGTATCATGTGTGTGTGTATGTGTGTGCGTGCATGCGTGCGCGTGTGTGTATTACGCTTGTGTGTGTGTGTGTTGTTGTATGCGTGTGTGTGCAAGTACATGTGTGCTTGCGCGTGGCTGCCTTTCCGTGAAAATGCTTGCATTTGATGGCTCATTGTCGTTTGCTGTCGTTGTATTCACGTGCACTTCTGCCCGCCAACAACACCCAACTAGTATTTGGCTGAGCTGAGCCTCCTCCTTGGCAACAAGTTTATTCAGTACCTGCCGTCGGTGAAGGCAGCCGCCGCCATTTGCCTCAGCCAGCATACGTTCGCCCGCCCCGTTTGGGTGAGTAATGCTGTGCTTGACGCGTGCGATGCTGAGTGTGTGCCGGAAGCGTGTGCTTGTTGTTGATGTGCTCTGTCGCTTCGTGTACCTCACGCGTGCTGCGGGTTGCTGTGCATATATTGGCTCGGGCACTCACTTGCTTGGTGCTTGCGCTCTGGGTTGGTGCGTGTGCAGACCCCGACCTTTGAGCGCTATTGCCGCCTGTCGCCCGAGGAGGTGCAGCCATGCCTGAACGATATGTTTGAGGCAATGACGTCTGCTCCTCACCTTGAGTACCAGGCTATTCGTGAAAAGTACATGGAGCGCCGCTTCCACTCGGTTGCCGGCATTGCGGTGAGTCAACCCACTCGTATGCTTGGCACCTCGGTCCGCCTGCCCCTGTGTCTTGTCTGTGGTTGGCCCGCACACGCAATCTGTTTGGTCTCGAACCATTCCTGTCCCCTTGCTTTGCCTTTTTCTTGGCATGTTGTGGTTGGCTTTGTGTGTGGAGGTTGCCATTCCGTGTCGATTGCGCTCACATCACAGCACGCTTTCGTTGATTTTTCTTGCAACGTGTGGCAGGCCCCGACTTCCTGCCCTCGCCTCGTGGATCTGCGAGGTGGCAGCCAGGTGTGAGCACGCTGTTGCCTGGTGCCTCGGGGTGCCGGACAAGTTCGCTTTTTTGAATATTTTCGCGCTGATCGACCTCCCTTGTTGAAGTGTTCGCATCGGTGGACTAATGCCCTGGTATGGATCACCGAGGTGGCTCTTCAACTGCTTTGTCGTCTGCTTCCTCCCTTGCTTTGTTGGTTCTTTGCCTTCATGGTTAAACGCCTCCTCCCTCTTCTCTCTTTCCTTCCTCCCCCCCCCCCTCCGTTCCTTGGTTGTACGCCGTTGCCACCCTTTTGCAGTGGTGGGATGGTGATGGGCCTTGGGTCTCATGATGTCACACACATACATGAGTGGCATTCCCTGGCCCTTCAGGCCTTCTTTATTTTGTTGCCCCTCTTTTTCCTTTTCCTTTTCCTTTCCCTCTCCCTTTTCCCTTTTCCTTTCTTTCTTTGTGCCTTTCCCCTCCTCGCATGCATGTTCCTCTTGTGGCTCTTCGCTACGGGCTTGTATTTCTGTGCTTCGTTTAATGGGCGTGTAGTATGTGGCTGTGTATTGTGTGCTGGATGGTTAGCTGTGTCGGGGATGTGTCACGTTTGCGTTGGTTATCCCTGACACCGATTGGTTGATTACTCGTCTCTCCTTCGCCCGTTGGGTTGCTTGTTCATGTTTCTTACTCGTGTCGCTGCTTATCATCGTTCCTGCTGTTGCGCCTCTTTGTACTGCTTGGTTGATAACACAAATAAACATCTCTCCTCTTGTTTCAAGCTGACGATATCCGCGGTGTGGTCTCGGAGAACAGTGGGGTATTCATCATCTTCTTACTCCCCTGCGAAGACGTGCATGCTCTCCTTTTTACGCTTCATGTTCACGCATCGCTGTGCGCGGTCATGTCCATTTCACCGTCTACCCTGTCCCGTATGGAGGGGGGGGGGGGTGACGTGCAACCCGGCGAGCTACGTGCCGGGGTAAAGTAGAGTGCGAGCGTGGAACAGCTGCGAATGCTGTTCAAGACTGCATACTGTGCAGCGTGCCCCGGCCAGAGGGTGTCGTCTTGCGCGCGCTTATGTGGCGTGAATCAACCGTCACCGACGGTTGCTCTGTTGTCCTTACCTTCCTTCCTGTTATAGTGTTATCCTCTTCCCTTTTCTGCCCTTGCAGACGACGTTTGCTGTTCACTCTTCACCCCGATGACAGGACTTATTGTTTTATGTGTGTGTGTGTGTGTGTGTGTGTGTGTGTGTGTGTGTGTGTGTGTGTGTGTGTGTCCGTGTGTCCGTGTTTGTGGTTTTATCACGCGCCGTCTCGACATTGCATGAGAGTGACGTCACGCGCACACAATGCTGGCAACGACTGCACCGCATAACTGCTTAATGAAATGTCCGGTCTTGTTGTTGTTGTTGTTGCGTGGCGTCGTTGCACGCTGCGGTTTGGCGCCCCCCCGTTGTACCAAGGGATGGCGGGAATTGTCTACGCTGCATGCGTGCATGCACGCTTGTGCCGCTCTGTGCGGGTATTCGCTTCAGCCGCCGGCTTCTGGAAGCGATTGATTGTTTGCACGCGTCGTCGTGTGTGCTTCATTTCTCGCTCGAAGGTGTGCTGCATGTAGTTCACCCTGCCACGCGCCCCATCTATCTTGTTTGGTGGGCAGCGGTGCTGTCTTGCAGCCCTGCATCAGCGTATGTCTGTCTGTGCACGTGTGCCATCCTTGCGTATTTGCTCTTCGGCTCATGGCCCAATCCACTTGCACGGCGACATGCGCACGCACACACGTACATACACACACACACACACACACACACACACACACACACACACACACACACACACACACACACACACACACACACACACACACACACACACACACACACACACACACACACACACACACACACACACACACACACACACGGTACGAACGGACCCCCACTGTCTTCTTGAGCAGGATCACGTGCCTACTTGCCCACGTGCCAACTTGTAGCAGCATCGCGCCATGGACAACGCGCTTCCCGGACCGAATGCCCGTTCGTTGCTGGCCAAGCTGGTAGACTGGCTGCGGGCGTTTGAAGAGCAAGAGGAACGGCATCGCGTCCTTTGGCGTGACGCCGCCACGGTTGCTCGCCTGACGCTGGTGAACGATGCCATCATGGCTATTCGAACGCGCCAGTCTGCTGGGCGCATCCAGCGGTTGGTCGGCGAGCTGCAGCTGTGCGCCTGGTGCGCAGCACCTCTAGCCAGCTGTGACAACTGCCAGCGGCAGCGCCTGCCAGGATCCCACGAAGACGATGCCGACGAGCTATCGCGCTATCGTCGCTTTCGCCTCCCTGCCATCCGCATCACGCGTGCCTGCCCGCATGACAACGAGCCCCGGCCACAGCCACCAACGCCAGCCGCGACAGGTACGTTTGCTTGTGTGTGTTGTGCACCTGGGCCTGCTTGAACACGGTTGCTTTCTTTGTGTGGGCGTGCACGTGTCTGTGTTTTGCTCGTCAATTCTCCTTGCATGCATGCATGCATGCATGCATGCATGCATGCAAGGAGACAGTAGCTTGAGGCGAGAAGGTTGGGCAGGTTGGAAGGAGGATAGGAGGATGCTTGTCTTCCCATGTTAATGCGACAGCCAGTGTGACGCTGTGACATTGACGCGAGTTATTCGCATCATCGACTTCACGCTTGTGCGTCGTCCTGTCCTGTATTTGAAATCTCATGTTTAGGTGGCAAGGGCCAGCAGCAACGCTGATCACCGACTGCAGCGTGCACACGCGCAAGCAGCACAACTGCATGCGAATTCTAATTGCTGTTGGTTTGTTGCATCTTCTGATCTTTGCGTTGTCGTTCACCTGTGCAAGTACAGTCTGTTCACTGTCAAGTGTTGTGCTCGTGCCATCGGTCGGGTTTCCGACCTGGCTGCTTCCACTGTTGAACGAACGTCTGAACGTACCACCTCCAATTTGCACGCAAGTAGTGTGAGTAGCCTGGCAGTGCAAGAAGTGATGTCATTTACGTTACAATGTCAACAAATCGCGTGCGTTTGGAAGACTCCTTCCTGGGATAAGCACAAAATTAGCCATTGGGGAACGAAAAATGCACCCGCGAACAAAAGTGCACCCCAGAACGCAGCCAGAGAGGAAGGAGCTGACTTGAAGGCTATGAGTGTCAAGCACAGTGTTGTGCATCATCCCTCGCCGTAACGTAAACTGCCATCATTGAATTTGTCGAACCATGCGGGATGATGTCCGCTGGGGAAAGAGCCTTCTGTATCCAAGAGACCGGCCTCCGCGCTGCATATGAAGCCTTAAAGGTGGGCAAGACACTCACATTTGAGCACTTGAGCTTCCAGCTGGCCCGAATCGCAGTCCACAAGGGCCAACACCACAAGGTAGTGTTGTGACTTAACCTTCAAACTAGACGCGATGTTCCTACCCGTGTATGCGCACGTTCACACGCACGCACGTCTGCACGTGCTTGCCGCGTGCATTCTTGGCACATCAGCGACCGAGCTCACGTTCGAAGTGACTTCTCCCTTGCATTGTTCTTGTGTTACGCGTCGTCAGGTGAAGAAGAAGAATCACAAGCGGTTTCAAGTCGTGTGTTGCAAGCGTGGATGCGAATACAGAGTGTACACGGTGATCCAATCCGACGCCACCCCTTGCCTATATCGAGTGACACAGGTTCAAAAGCACACATGTGCCGTGACCGAGAAGACTGTCAAGCCGAAGGTGCTTGCAGCATACGACGCCAGCATCATGGGCACGGCGAAGGTAAAGGTTGCGGCTGTCAAGAAAAGATACGGCATCAGCGTCACGGTGCGGCAGATGCAGTTGTACGCCAGTCACCTGAACAGGATGGCACTTCCAACACCACAAAAAGTAGCGGATATGGCGGACACTGGACGGCGGAGCAGCGCTGCTGAGGCTGGCAATGATGACGCTTCTGACGCTTGCCATAGCAGCGGACCCGCACCAGCACAAGCACAAGAACAGGCCGACGAAGAGCTGGTGCGTCCAACAAACCATGTACACAACTGATAATACAACCTGGAGCAAACAGACGGTGAACGCGGCATTTTCAGGTCGTTCACACATCTCACCCTCGTTGTGTACGCCCACAATTGCGCGCGCGCACACACACACACACACACACACACACACACACACACACACACACACACTCACACTCACACACACACAACGCACGATACCTGGCATTGCTTCCGTATGAAGGCGCACTTCCGTCGAGTGCAACAGGCCTTCTCGTTCTATGAGGACCATGCCATGGCGAGGCTGTCGCGTGCGCTGACGGCCTTCCACCGACTTCCGCAGCACCACCAAGACATGCTGCCCAAATTCTCTTCAGACATGCGGCGCCTGCGAGAAGCCATCGCGCACAATGCTGCATTTGTCGCTCAAATCACCAGCGGTCTGGACTTTCTCGAAATGGTACGAAGCATGCAGTGGGCATACATGTGTGTCTGCATGCGCGTGTGTGTGTTTATATTTCAAGCACAGGTGCGTCCATCCCAGCACACACACACACACACACACACACACAGAAACAGACAGACACGCAGGCGTACAGACACACTCAGGAACACTGACACACAGACACGCAGACACACACGATCGCCTCATGTCCTGTTTTCTACCCGCCTGCCCATTTGCTGCAACAGGCTGATGCCGACACGGATTTACAAGGTGAAGGATCCCGACTCACCAGCGCCCAAGTGGCATCACGCCCACGCAACCCTGTTCCACACACACACACACACACACACACAAACACACACACACACACACACACACACACACACACACACACACAAACACACACACACACACACACAGATGAGGTGCCGACAGAGTTTTTTATGGATAAGGTGTGCACGACCATCAAGCAGTTTTACCGGGACTGGTCTGCAGAGGTTAGATGGAATGCCACTGTACAGCAAAAGGATGCGTTTGCTGGCACTCAACACAACATCAATATTCATCGCCCCTGGCTCCTGTATGTTCCTACCAAACACGAGGAGAAGCGAATCCCCCCCCCCCCATTCACACCCCCTACCCTCCGTGCATTGCACACAACAAGGGACAAGCAGAGCGGCAGCAGTGCTATGGACGCATATTGGAGGCCGTGGACCGACTGTTTGCGGAGCGAGATCGGTATGAGACGTGCTCTTGGACATCGTGACTGGCACAACAAAAGCACAAGAGCAACACCCAGCAACCACTGCGCAGCTCATGCCAGTACGCGTACGTGTTTTGGGGCGCGGGGATACTTGAACAGGCACGACGTCGCTATCCTCACACCAGGTGCCGGGCTTGGAAGGTGCGACAATGGGGCTCCGAGCGAGAATGGTGCCCTCTTCATGCGAGTGAAGTGAACAAAGGCGCACGAAAGACGAAACATCATGACGGCGGCAATATCCGATCACACTGACATCACTGTTATCCTTCTTTTCGCCGCCGCCGCTTCTGTGGCGCTCTGCTTCATGACGCAGGCTGACGTGGGAGTTTGCAAAGCGCGGTTACAGAAGCCAAGGCAACGAGTGGAGCGCATTCATGCTTTTTGCCTCCAACTTTATCCTCAACAGGTCAGGATGCCTGCAAATGCTTGAGTCGTGTGTGTGTGCGTCTGTGTGCGTCTGTGTGCGTCTGTGTGTGTTTGTGTTTGTGTGTGTATGTGTGTGTGTATGGAAGGGTTGGTTGGGATTGAAGGATCGCACTTGCACCAGCAAGTGTGCCGTCGTCTCTTCCATCTCCCTACCGGGCGATGCACGTCGACATACATGTGCCGACACCTGCACACAGAATTGCACACATGCACGTATCCCTGCACAGTTTCAATTGCACATGCACACATGAGCACGATCTCAGCGTGCACGTAACCATCAAGCCACACACCTCCACACACCAGTCCAAATCCGCCGAAATCCATCACCATCCACCCGTTTGCACACCTGTTCAGCAACGTTACGTCACGCGACGCACAGGTGATGACATCAGCTGCGCCCTACGCTCGCTACGCACGAGCATGTCTGTGTCACTCATCAGGCCACCCAACGCGTGGTTGCACACACATCCACATACACGCATACACGCACAAACAAACACACATGCGCACTCTCACGCACACGCACACACACACTCACACGCACACGCACACACACACACACCGCACGCACGCACACGCACGCACACACACACACACACACACACACACACACACACACACACACACACACACACACACACACACACACACACACACACACACACAAACGCATACACACATCACACAAACGGACGCGTGTAGGTACGTGCGATTGAAATTCCAGATGTGGACACGCGGGAATTACCTGCAGGCACAAACTTCTCCATGGCGGCTGGCGATTTCTTCGAAGTGTACGACGAAGCAAGTCAGTGGCATCAGTGTCCAAAGCGCGGCGTGCACTCCTCCCTTGTGATGGCGTCGAGTGATACAAGCAGCGCGGTGCTTGTGGGAGATGAGCCGCTGTGCGCACTGTGGACATAACAACCTCACACCCGTTCCCGCCACCCTGTGTAGATACGTGGGATTGTGTGGCAAGCGCCTTCACTCTCGACACAGCACGCAATCCAATCGCCTTCCTTGAGGTGTGTGTGTGTGTTTGTGTCGCGTGTTCCAGTTTGTGTCTTGATGCACAAGGGAGTGACAGGCAAACTTCAAGTGACAGTCCACTCACACCATGACGCCCTTGAATGATTGTTCGTTCCCTCCCTCCTCAACAGCGCGTGTTCTCCATCCTGAAACCAGGCGGATTCCTCGTCAACCTTGGTAATTCAGTGGTGGGAAGCGCCACCCGCGCCTACATACGCATCCAGACAGACAGACAGACAGACAGACAGACAGACAGACAGACAGACAGACAGACAGACAGACGTGCTTGTACACACACACACACACTCTCTCTCTTTCACACACACACACACACACATACACACACACCTCAGGGCCACTGCTGTATCACTACGAGGACAGCCGTGACGGCGTGTCCTTGGAACTTCCGCTGGACGACGTGCTTGCAGCCGCGGTTCAGATTGGGTTCATCATCGCGGTACGTGCCACCCAGTGGAGAGGACGGGCGATGGCCGTGGTCTGGTGCAAGGAAACTTGCATGTAACGAGGAATGCCTCCATGCACAGCAGAATTACTCAACGCCTCTCTCCCCACACATACGCGCTGTCAGGAGGAGGAGCGGCGGGTGAAGGCGACGTACAACGACGACAGCGAAGCCATGATGCACACGGTGTTTGATTGTTCATTTTTCATCGCACAGAAACCACCCAGCGTCTCAACACAGCACTCAGCGTGACCCAAGAGACCCATACATCTTACCCAGACACTGTCGAGCATAATGGTACCGTCGTGATCTGTTTTACTGCCTTGTGTACACGCGCTGAAGGCAAGAATGAACGATTCATGACAATTGAGACAAACGGAAACCATGAAATGTGCGCGGAGTGGGTATTTGTGCCGCTGATTGCACAGAAGAGACAAGTGTAATTGCACCCTATTCAACAAGGCCAGGGGACACCACGAAAGCAACGACAATGCGATTGGAATACGTGTGCGTGACCAAATCAAGCCACGCAACGATGTCACTCCTCATCTCCATCTGTGCTGAATGGGTTGCATGGTGGCAAGTCCGCAATCATGTCCACCATCTCGTCCACGCGCTGAAGCATCGCACGCCGGACCTGAGGCCAAGGCCGAAGAAGGAAAGGGGGGGGGGGGAAGGAAATGGGGTGAGGAGTAGGCGGTGTTGGCGACTGGATCTCAAACACGCAAACACAGATAAAGACCGACATGCACATGGGGAATACCGAAACACACAACACAACACACAACACAACACACACACACAACACAACACACAACACACACACACACACACACACACACACACACACACACACACACACACACAGGATCCAGTGTCGCACCTGGATGAAGAGTTGTTCACTGAATGCCTTTCGCTTCTCTGGATCGATTTCGGGCACTGGTGGCGAAATGACGGCCGTGGATGACCGCCCACCGCGCGCACTGCACACCCATACAGACACGTGACGATGATGTGAGAACACTGTGGCTACGCATCGTGTGGAAGGCACACTGCACCACTGCTCACCGATTGCAAACCATCACCAACGTGACAGCAGGTCTGACCTTGCAGCTCGCGATTTCGTCAGTTTCGAGGACGAGCGCGCCGACCGTGCATCTGTTAATACATACATGAGGAAGTAAGTACATGTGTTGTACATGCGTGGCACCGCACCACACACACACACACACACACACACACAATATGCTTGTTCACAATGACACCAGGTGCACCTTTCTTGCGGGCTGGCAGTGCTTGCTCTGGCTCTGCGGGTTCTGGTGTTGTTTGCTTCATCCCCATCTCCTGCATGAGCTGCTCTCTGCTCCCGACAACATCGCACGCAACGCGGCGCAGAATTTGTTTGCTGCGTGGTCATGATCACAGACAAGCAGAAGTGAAGGGAGGAGGACGGTTGACGGGTGAGTTAAGAACTTTGAACGAGCAGACAAGACGCGTGATTCATCGGAACAGCAGCAGCCAGCAATAATCACACGGCACGAAAGTGCACGCGTCGTCACACACACACACACACACACACACACACACACACACACACACACACACACACACACACACACGTGCGTACCCGACAGCACGCCTGTCAAGGCGGAGTGCAGCGTGAAGATCGCGGTTGCGCGGAAGAAAGCGGCTGCATATGGACTGGAGCTCACGCAGCAGTTCTTCGCGCTGTGTATCGTCGTCCTGTGCCATGCACAGCTGTTGAGCAGGACCACATGCCAAGTTATGTGCGTGCGTGTGAGGTTGTGGTTGAGGGAGTGACCACTCACGTGCGCAAGCCTTTGGCGTGAAAACAATGCAAATGCGGGAGCGAAGCGTGCCAGGCTGCGAATCCCCTTGCTTGTTTCCGCCTTAACAGTGAAGCCATGCCCACCTGTTCCAAGTCGGCAACACGGTACGACCAGGGCGGCGTCTCCTGTACCGCCGGCACGAACTCCGACTTTCGCCTGTTCTTCTTCTGCGCAGCTGCTTTTGCGCCCTCATCCTCACCCGCCCCGCCCTAAAGTGCAGCGCCCGTCACGGAAAGGAAATCACACCACGGCATTGAGATAAGCGTGTGCGCGTACATGTGTGTGTGCGTATTTGAGCGGAGAGAGAGAGAGTGTGTGTGTGTGCGTGCATGTTTGTATGTTTGTGCGCACGCGTGCGCGCGTACAAGAGCCGTGGGGTGTGAGGCAATGCATCTGTTTGACATTATCGTCCACCTGGCATACCTGTGACGCAATGCGCTGGTGAAATGCCACGAGATCTTGCACAACGTCTTCGCGGTATGTGTCCAGTGTCTGGATCATTCACACATGCATGGCGGTCAGCACGAAGTAGTCTGTGCAGTGTTTGCACTGTAGGCAGCACAACAGCATAGGTCATACCACGACAGCATAGGTTGTACCACGAGGGGAGATGCACACACACACACTCACACAGACACAGACACAGACACACAGACACACAGACACACAGACAGACACACAGACACAAACGTACACAAACGTCGGGGTTAAGCCGAACAAATGTCTGCGCATCTGTGCGCCAGTGCTCTTCAGGCGTTGGTGGGCGAGGGCGCGGCGCAAGATTGGTGATGATGTGCGACAGCAGTCGACGGATCATCGTCTCCACTTGCCGCTGCTCGCACTCGCGCTGAGGAAAAGGGGAAACAGGAACGAGGGGAGGGAGAGGAAAAGGTGAACGGAGGAGGGCAGCATGAACGGGGGTGGCTATCACACAGGCTTGGAGGAACACAGCGATAGCAGGAAGGGAAAGAGATGCACAGACTGGTTGCAGGCGGACAAGACGGACACAAATATTGACACTGATACTGACACTGACACTGACACAAACATTGACACTGATACTGACACTGACACAAACACACATACAAACATGCATACATACATACATACATACATACATACATACATACATACATACATACATACATACATACATACATACATACATACATACATGCATACATACATACATACATGCACAGAGACACACACACACACACACACCTTGAAAGGGAGGGCGTCTCGTTCAAAGTTGTCTGTGCTCTCTGTGACGCCACAGAGGGAGAGGGTGGGAAACACATCCACGGCACACGGGGTCATGATGAGCTGCCAGTCCTCAGAGAAGACACCGCTGCTGGCGCTCTGGAACCGCAGGTGCATGTCGCGGTGCGCACCAGGCAGGATGGTGTCTGTGACGGAGAAGGGGCGAGGAGGGAAAAGGCGGTGAGCTGAACAAGTAAACAAGCGCGTGCCCACAGGACAGTTCCGACAGTCACACCCCCCACCAACACCACACCAACACCACACCCACACACAATGAACAACCACGATACTAACAGTTCCGACAGCCACTCACACACACACACACAGCCCTCACGGCAACCCATACCTGGCTCAATATCAAGGAAGAAGCGCTTTGCTTCATCTTCGCGCCTGCCGAGAGCATTGTCTCGCTCCACACGCTGCCAGCGGAAATAAATCGCGGTTGGCCCCGTATTTTTCAACCGGACGATCTGTCCAGCACGTTGGCCAGGCACCGTTTTGAAGAGCACGCGGCAGCCCTCGTGGGGGTCCAGCGGCTTGATGGAGGAGAGGTTGGATGGCGCATCGAGCTCCGGCGTGGAGGAATCAGCGTCCAGTATTTCAAACGCAATCAACGGTTGTCCTTTTGATCCTTCCACGTCATCATTGTCTTCATCCTCGTCATAGTTGAACGTGTCCTCTTCCTCCTCCTCTGCCTCCATCACGCCTGCAAGCATGCCCCCATCGCCCAAACGTGCGCCCTGGCTGACAAACGACAGGCGCTGCTGCTCATGTTTCGCGCGCGCGTCTGCGTCCAGCTCCGCCTCATCGTGCACCACGACTGGTCTTCCAACCACCTGCGCAGTGTGTGTGTGTGTGTGTGTGTGTGTGTGTGTGTGTGCGTGTGTGTGTGTGTGTGAGGTGTAGAACGGAGGCCATGGTTTGGATGACCAGTGGTCTGATCGCCACGAGCAACTGCCCACAACGTCATAACGCAAGCACAAAATGGCACCTCGAGGGCGCTGGTGTCTGGGATGTGCTTTGCGAGATCATCGAGGTATGGGTTCAGCTGCTGCATCCGCGTCGTCAAATACGCGCCCGGTTGCTCGTCTTGAGGGAAAATCACACACACACACACACATAACCACAGGTCCAAACGAACAAACCCCCAAAAGAATACACACACACACATCGGAACGCTGAATGAGAGGTTACACAGGGAGATTGAGAGCACCACCCGTGAACGCAGGTCATATTTGGAATGGAGTCACACGAACGCATGTCTCACCTCTGTTTCTGTAGGTAGCTGGGCCAACCTTCATCTCTGCCTGTACGTGGCGTGGGCGGCCAACAAATTCAACTTCCGGCCGCTGCCCTTGCTCCGTCTGCAGTCGAGAGAGGGAGCAGTAGGACGAGAGAAAGGACGTTCGTTGATGGTAGGGAAGGTAGAGGCGGGTGGGTTAGAGGAAGGACGATGAGGATGAGGGTGAGGGTGAACGTGCAGTCACAATGAGAGGTCAGGTTGTGGTGGGGAAGGGCTACGTGGTAGGGCCCACTCGCAGCGCAAGTCATCGCCAAGCACACATTAGATGGCCGCATCCACCCTAAGCCCTCCCATCGACCTTTGTGAGGGTGTAGTGAAGGTTTGATTTCGTGACGGGGTTTGGTTGCCAGAACTCTGATCCAACCCGAAACCCTTTGCCCTGTTCTGTGGCAGGCATTGCTTCCTCAATTGCATGCCTGCGTGTTACGAGGGAGGCGACAGCAAGGAGCACGGGGTGAGTCATCAACCACTCGTGGGTGTTGTGTAGCGGTTCGTCGTGCCCTCAACAACACATGCCATCGAGGCAGCACCATCGCAGTTCCATTGCGCATGCGTGTCGTGTAAGTGTGCGTGTCGTGTGTGTGTGTGTGTGTTTGTGTGTTTGTGTGTTTGTGTGTGTGTAACTCAGTGGTGGTCGCATTACACTTCATCTGCGTCAACCTCACTGCATCCTACACAGCATGCACACGCACCTGATTTGGCGTTTTTGATGAAAGAGCTCGTGCGACTGCATGTTGAGCTGCTCAGCTGGCACGCCCGTGCGTCGGCTGATGTGTCGCTCCTGTTTCTCCCACATTTGAACCGTTTTCTGCACGACCCAAGGCACATACCAATTCCACGTGCATGTATGTGTGTGTATGTGTGTGTATATGTGTGTATGTGCGTGGCGGTGAGGGGAAAGGTGCCAGCAAGCAAGGGACGATCAGCTACGTTGGTTCATGACTGTCAGGCCAAGAAGCGGGGTTGCAGGCAAGTGTTGATGATCAGTGCTGCTGATGACGACAACTCATGTGTCTCATGTCAAACCCACGTTCCAGTGCTGCAGCGATCTGGCATCCCGGTCCTTGACCCGCTCTTCTTGATAGGATGCAAAGAACTCTTCCTCCTTTGCCGAGCGTGCAGCTTTACGCTGAAACCGACCAGCACCTGCACGACGAATGCAGGCGCACAAGGGAGTGTATGTGTCAGCAACATGAGCTGTGATGTGTGCTGTGCGGTGTCTGACAAACACATGAGCATGTGTGTACGTGTATCTGAATCGGTTGTGCGTACGGGAGACTCGCGGCGCTGACTGAGACGGTGGCTGGGGTGGCTGTGGGGTACTTGACATGGCCACTGCCGCTTCCATGTTGTAGCCAGCATTCTGTTCGTGCAGGAACACATGGCGAGGGCGAGTGTGAGTGAGAGAGGATGAGAAAGAGAGGTGGGGGTAATAGCAAAGAAAGAGGCTGAGGAGGAAAAGTCGAGAAGGGGACGAGGGAACACAGAGACGCTCTGTTTACAATTGACACCCCGCTTGAGCTTTGAATCCACCATGTCAGTGCATCTTGCACACACACACACACACACACACACACACACACACACACACACACACACACACACAGACAGGGAGACAGACAGGCAGACGCAGACACACACACATATACACACAGACACAGGCATACACACGGAGGCACATAAGCACAACCACCCACACCCACCCACTTTCCCGGCTTTCCCCCTGTTCTCCTTCCCAAGCTCTCCACACCGTACCTTGCTGTGTTCACGTTCGAGTTCGCCTGTGGAGCCCAAGAAGCTGTGATGTACGAGGGGACCGCGCTTGTTGCGTCGAAGGAGCGCGCGAGTAGGATCCACTTGCTGTTGCTGTTGCTGTTGCTCACTTCGAGCGCCACCAATGTCGGATGCAGCCATAGCAGCAGCCATGGCAGCAGACGCTGCGTTCATCTTTGTGGTGGTGGCTGTCCCTACAGTTCCTTGCCCTGCCATCTTTGGCTGTGTTGCTTTGTGTGTGTGTGGTTGGCAACGAAAGGCAAATCTGCCTTTTACACCAAGGTAAAATTTGCCTTTGGCGTGACATGGGAGAGGTCGGTGCGTGCATGTGGAGGTGGAGGCGGTGTGGGGTGTGGTGTGTGGTAGTGTAGTGTGGTGAAGACAACCGTGGTCGACAGGGAGATACACACATGCACACACATGCACACACAGACACATGCACACACACACACACACACCACACACACACGCATACAGACACACACATAGAGGTGACATGTTCTCTTACCGGTTGGTTGTTTCTCTGTTCCCGCCAAATCGCGCCACAGATCTGACACGCAGCAGCGACAACCAGCCGAGCCCGCCGTTTTTCCAACAGCTGACACTTCCAGCCAACCCTCCAACCAGCAAAGCAGCCAGCCATGGGCAAGAAGGGCAAGAAGGGAAAGAAGACCAACTTCAAGAAGGTCGACCTTGGCCAGCTCCTCGACTCGGCCCCGGCACCGGCCACAAGTGACATTGTGGTGCCATCTGCGCCAGGTGCCTCCAAGGTCGTCATCGATGAGTACGTTCCCAGTTTGTGCGTGCAAACATGACGACGGGTGTGGGTGAGGACACAGTGAGACATCGGAAGCGTATGTGCATGTGGAGAAGAGAACGAGACAAAGCAAATGGGCAAGCGGTAAAGGTCATATGGGCGGGGGGGGGGGAAACTGCCTCACAGGCCAACATTGAAGACACGACACGACACACACATGCATACACACACACACACACACACACACACTCACACACACACACACACACACTCACACACACACACACACACACACACACACACACACACACACACACACACACACACACACACACTCACTCACACACACACTCGCTCACTCACACTCGCTCACTCACACACGCGCACACTTCTCTGCTTTGTTTTGTGCGCGTATGGTCCTCCGCTCACCACTTTGTGTATTGTCATTGCCGTGCGCGCTCTCTCCTTGTGCTCCCTTTTTGATGTTTGGCAGCGCGGATCTGCCACAGTACCCTCCCTTCAAGGCGTTCGTCGGCCGCCTGTCGTACGGCGCCTCGGAGCAGGATGTGATGAACTTCTTTGCTCCCAGCAAGGTTGAGGAGGTTACCCTCGTCAAGGACCAGTCTGGCGCCATGAAGGGCTTCGGGTATGTCGTGTTTGCTACCAAGGAGGATCTCAAGGAAGGTCTGATGAAGAACGACGAGGTATGCATCCCAATTCCACCGACATGAGAAGCAGTGCTGTTGTGTGCGTGTGTGTGTGTCTTGTGTGTGTGTCTGTGTCTGTGTGTGCGTGCATGTGTGTGTGTGTGAATGACAGTGCCGCATCACCGAAGCGACATCAGACCCCCAACAACGACTGATTGACTCACCACCAGCTTGCTGCCTCCCCTCTCCTTCCCTGCCTGTTGTTGTTTCCGATGGCCACGAAAGATCATGCTGGGCCGGAAGGTGCGTGTCGATCTGACGGACGCCAGCGATCGTGGCCCCTCCACCAGGACCAGCGCTGCGTTTGGTGCGTATCCAAACCCTTGCAGACCACCCCACGGCTTCTTGCCAGCTTGTTCTTGCCAGTCCGTGGTTTTCCACCTGCCATCACCTGTTGCGTCGCTTGCGAACAGCCGCTGCACCTTCATCCTGTTCTGTTCCTTCCTGCTCATCTCCTTCCGATCACCCGCCTTGTTTCTCTCCCCTGGACCACTGGGGTCCCTGTGCATGTGGCAGGCGACCGCGAGTGGCGCTCTGCCCCACGCGAGCCCGCCCCCGCTGCCCGCGAGTCTGCCGGCTTTGGCGGTGACCGCATGGAACGCGGTGACCGCATGGAGCGTGGTGATGAGCCTGCAGGCCCTCCGCGCGCCATGGCCACCTCGGACTGGCGGTCCGCTGGTCCCCCTTCCTCGGCGCCACCCTCTGGCCGTGGCGGCTTTGGTGGTGACCGGCGTCGCGGTGGCGGCGGATGGCGCGACGGCTCCGACAGGCGCGGTGGCTTTGGTGACGATCGCCGTGGTGGCTTTGGCGATGATCGCCGTGGTGGCTTTGGCGACAGGCGCGGTGGCTTCGGCGACAGGCGCGGTGGCTTCGGTGACGATCGCCGTGGTGGCTTTGGTGACGATCGCCGTGGTGGCTTTGGTGACGATCGCCGTGGTGGCTTTGGCGATGATCGCCGTGGTGGCTTTGGCGACAGGCGCGGTGGCTTCGGCGATGACCGCCGTGGTGGCTTTTCCCGCAGCGACCAGGCACCCGCGTACGTTCCCTTCGGAGTTATGTGCCGTTGCGATTGCTATTGCTGTTGCTTGGTGTTCTGCCTTTTGCCAGCTATCGCATTGCCACCACGCCACGATTCACCTGTGTAACGCTTGTGCATATGCGTGTGTGCGTGTGTGCGTGTGTGCGTGTGTGCGTGTGCAGTCGGGAGCCCATGAACCGGCCGCGCATCCAGCTCGAGGAGCGCCGTGTCGACGCCCCCGTTGGCCAAGGTGCCCGCGCCTCTGCCTCTCCCTTCCTGTGCTTGATCGCACTGGCATGCATGCACGTCACACCTACTGTTCTGTTGGACCCGCTCGCGAGGGTGCCTGATTGCCGGTGGGCATTCACAGTTTCGTCACGCCGTCACTCACTTCTTACACGTGTACGCGTGTGCATGCATGCTTCTGCATGCTGCAGCTGCGAGTGCGCAGTCCGACATCTTCGGCGGCGCCCGCCCCGTGGACAACGCAGAGAAGCTTCTCAAGGCGCAAGAGGAGCGCGAGCGCCGCGAGGCCGAGCTCCGGGCCAAGGGTACGCACCGCATGCCTCACCGCACACGTGTGCACCTGTTTTTTCTTTTTTCTTTTTTTCCTTTGGGGGGGGGGGGGGCGGGGGAGGAAGTGTGTAGTTTTGGGTGTACGTGCTGATGCTGTGATTGATATGGTGTCTTCGTCGTCGTACTGACAACACCAACACTATTGGCATCCCTCTTCATAGCTGAAGCTCAGCAGGCCCAGAAGGAACAGCAGCAGCGGCAGCAGCAGCAGCAGCAGCAGCAGCAGCAAGAGCCACAACAACCAAAGCAACAGCAGAAGCAGCAGCCAAAGCCTACGTCAGTCTTGGACATGCATGCATGTGTGTGTGTGAATGCGTGTTGTACATACCTAGTTGCCCCTGTTCGAGCACATGAACACAGCCACAACCATCCTACGCTGACACTCTCTATGTGTGCGCTTGCACCCATTCGTTCACCGCTGCCGTTGTAGGGAGGAGGCGAAGAAGGACGTCCGTGAAGTGGGCAACAAGTTCTCTGCCCTCGTCATGGAGGACAACATGTGAAGCGATTCCTGAACAGCCCCGACATGCGTTTGTGTCTTGGCAGTCGGGTCCTCGCCTGTCACAGCGTGTGTGGCTGCTTGTCCATGCGGCCGACCGACAGCACCGGGTTCTCTTCTGTGCTTCTCATTTGTGGTGTGTGTGTGTGTGGATGGATATGTTTGTGTGTTCATGCATTTGTCGTGTGTATGTTTTGTGTCGTGTTTCCCCTACTTGTGTCTTTGTGGGTGGTTCGATGTAGCGGTGTCTGTTGGGTCGCTTATTTCCACCAAGTCGTAGCCAGCAAGATTGAAGCCATCCACACGCACATGTGATCGATGATGAAGCAGGGACGTGGTGCATGCACATGAGCACTTCAGAGCTGCCCGGGAGGGGCAAGGTTCCTGGTGCGATACCATGCCCAGGGGATGACCCATGCCAAAACACACTTGAGCCAGAGCACCTGGTGCTCACACAAGCGCAGGTCAAGAAAAAGGGGTAATGTAACAATTGGGGGGGAGGGGGATGTAACAATGGACAATGTACATTCGATGCTGTATTCACAAAGACAAAGAGCGGGGGCTGTGAAGGCGTCATATGCTTGTGAGTCTTCTCAGGCGGGCATTGAGATCTCGCTCCTGGTGCCACACGCAAGAAGGAACGAAATACATGATGAGTCAGGGATACGAGGATCACAAGTGCACACACACACACACACACACACACACACACACACACACACACACACACACACACACACACACAAAGACACATACACACACACACAGACAGACAGACACACACACACATACACACCTTTTGCAATAGCTGCTGGTTGTACTTGCGAAAGGCCTCAAACTCCTCCCTAATACGCTCCATTTGTTCCTCAGCCTCCTCTGCTCGCTGCTCCGCTGCCAGCACCTGTAGGGTTGCACAGCACGTTCAGACACACGACCAAAGCCAGTCAGACATGTGTTGGTGCACAGTTTGTTGCGTATGTGTGCATGTGTGCATGTGCTTGCATGTGTGTATTTGTGCGTGTGTGGCTGGTGCAGCAGGCTCCTTTGCGGTTTGTGACTGCTTGCAACCAGCCCATCGCACCTTCTTGTTGACACTGTTTTGTTCCAGCTGTTGCATTGCTGTTTTGGCAGCCTGTACGAGAAAGCACAAGAGCGAGTGGCAGCAACTGCGTCAGTGCAATAGCTTCTTTCGGGCGTCGCAAGTGAGAGCATTTGAGGGCATGTCATTGTGATCGTTGCATCAGTCTCTAGAAGCGCATGCACGCACCTCCTTGTGACGGGAGGCGTCCGTCTTCATCTGTGCAATTGCTGTCGTTGCCTCCTGGAGTGAAGGTGGTGTCGAAGATTGTACCATGGAGGATGAGACATAACACAGCTTGCGGAGGGCCACCAACAACACCATCGCCACCACCATCACACCAACAACAACACTCATTGAGGCAGGTCGCCGTGCACAGCAGCAAGCACAGCCTGCACCAACACCAAGTACGTTGCCATCGCACATGAAAACACACACACACACACACATACACGCATGTACACACATGCACACAAACATACATACACACACATACACGCACGCACACACACACACACATACACGCATGTACACACATGCACACAAACATACATACACGCGCACACATACACACAAACATACATACACACACATACACGCACGCACACACACACACACACGCATGCACACACATGCACACAAATATACATACACGCACACACATACACACATACACACATACACGCACGCACACACATGCACACCTCGTACCTTGTACTTTGATTCAAGGGACTTGTTCTGGGCTTGCAGGTTGGCGACCTGCTGCTGCAACGTGGTGATTTGCCGCGACAGCGCCTCTTGTTCTGCTCTCGCTTTCTTGGCAGCTTCCTGCGCGTGCTTGCTCACCGCAGAATGCTGGGTGGACAGACCCTTGGACTGCTCGAGAGCCTGATCGAGCTGTTGCTTCAAGTGCTTGTTCTCCTTGATGAGTTGCTGCTTGCTCAGCTGCAGCTCTGTGACGGTTGACTTGAGCAGCTTTGTTGCATCCGCCACGCGCTTTGTGATTTCCTCCTCCTGCTTGAGAGCACGCCGCTCCAGGTCTGCGTTGCGCTCTCGCAGCTGCTTGTTCTCCGCCTTGTACTCGTCCTTGAACCTGGATAGCTGTTCATGATTGCTGGACAGCGTGTTGAAGTTGGCCTGCAGTTGCTGTGCGGCCTTGGCTTCCCGGGTCAGCTTGCCCTTGAGATCTCGAATCTGCGCCTGGCACTCTGTCAGCGTGCGCTGCAGGTTTGCATTTGTCGCTTGCGCTGTCTCGTTTGATTTCTTCAGCAGGAGGATCAGCTCTGCCTGCTCCTCCACGCGAAACCGCAGCACCTGCTCCTCGCTCATCCCCGAGGTCTTCTTGCTCTTCTTCTGCTGCTGCCGTTGCTGCTCCTGCTGCTGTTGCTGTTGCTGCTGGCTGCCCGCGACCACCCGAATCCCATCGTCGTCCATCGTCGTTGTGTTGTGTGTGTTTGTCGTTGTCAGCGGCAAGTTAATTTGTGGTGTCGCCCTCAAGATGGCGCTGCGGGCACTGCTGGGCGACGACGTGCACCCAGCGACAAAGGCAGCCTTCAGCAAAGGTCAGCAGTGAGTTGGAAGGGGGGGGGGGTGTTATGTGTGTGTGAGCGTGAGTGTGTGTGAGAGAGAGAGAGAGAGAGAGAGAGAGAGAGAGAGAGAGAGAGAGAGAGAGAGAGAGAGAGAGAGAGAGAGAGAGAGAGTGTGTGTGTGTGTGTGTGTGTGTGCGAGTTGATGCCCTTCAATATGCACGCTTGTGCTTGGCTGTGGTTGGCGCATCGTGGTGGACACAAACTGCATGGCACTGACACACACACACATGCAACAACAACAACCACACACACAACCACACACACACACATACACACACACACACATACACACACACACACACACACACACACACACACACACACACACACACACACACACACACACACACACACACACACACACACACACACACACGCACACACGTCGCGCGACTTGCAGCTGGACTGACTGATCTCACAGAGATCCTGTGTCGGTCGGTTCCCGAGATTGTGGCACAGACGGGGCTCAAGGCATCACAGGTGGCAGATGTTGTATGCCGCTTATCCCTGCACGCTGCACCAAAGCCGTCAACGGCCGCACACCTCCTCACCACCGCCACACACGACCCCATCAGCTGGGGCGACGCCGGGTTGGACCGTGTCGGCCCCATCCGCACTGGGCATCTCATCGACCTGTGTGGGGAGAGCTCCGCAGGCAAGACACAGCTGGCACTCCAGCTCTGCCTGGCAGTGCAACAACCACCAGAATGCGGCGGTATCTCAGCACGTACGTGTGCGCGCGCGTGTGTGCCTGCGTGTGTGTGTGTGTGCATGCGTGCGTGCGTGCGTGCGTGTGTGTGTGTGTGTGTGTGTGTGTGTGTGTGTGTGTGTGTGTGTCTGGGTGGTGTCTGTATGTGTGCAATGTGTATGTCTGCGTCGTGAGGCGGTCTTGGATAACCCGACAGTGTATGCGGGAAGCCCCCTTCCGGTCAGGTGATCTCACGGCTCTGACA